GACTGGATTTTTTAACTCAATAAGCTTATTTCTTTTGAAAGACATACATGTTTTTTAAGGAATTCAATGAGTAAATTTGATGCTATTTGGTCAAATTGAATCAAACATACAGTCAGGTCCATAAATATTGGGACATCGACACAATTCTAACATTTTTGGCTCTATACACCACCACAATGGATTTGAAATGAAACAAACAAGATGTGCTTTAACTGCAGACTGTCAGCTTTAATTTGAGGGTATTTACATCCAAATCAGGTGAAAAGTGTAAGAATTACAACAGTTTGCGTTTGTGCCTCCCACTTGTTAAGGGACCAAAAGTAATGGGACAGAATAATAAATCATAAATCAAACTTTCACTTTTTAATACTTGGTTGCAAATCCTTTGCAGTCAATTACAGCCTGAAGTCTGGAATGCATAGACATCACCAGACGCTGGGTTTCATCCCTGGTGATGCTCTGCCAGGCCTCTACTGCAACTGTCTTCAGTTCCTGCTTGTTCTTGGGGCATTTTCCCTTCAGTTTTGTCTTCAGCAAGTGAAATGCATGCTCAATTGGATTCAGGTCAGGTGATTGACTTGGCCATTGCATAACATTCCTCTTCTTTCCCTTAAAAAAACTCTTTGGTTGCTTTTGCAGTATGCTTTGGGTCATTGTCCATCTGCACTGTGAAGCGGCGTCCAATGAGTTCTGAAGCATTTGGCTGAATATGAGCAGATAATATTGCCCAAAATACTTCAGAATTCATCCTGCTGCTTTTGTCAGCAGTCACATCATCAATAAATACAAGAGAACCAGTTCCATTGGCAGCCATACATGCCCACGCCATGACACTACCACCACCATGCTTCACTGATGAGGTGGTATGCTTAGAATCATGAGCAGTTCCTTTCCTTCTCCATACTCTTCTCTTCCCATCACTCTGGTACAAGTTGATCTTGGTCTCATCTGTCCATAGGATGTTGTTCCAGAACTGTGAAGGCTTTTTTAGATGTCGTTTGGCAAACTCTAATCTGGCCTTCCTGTTTTTGAGGCTCACCAATGGTTTCCATCTTGTGGTGAACCCTCTGTATTCACTCTGGTGAAGTCTTCTCTTGATTGTTGACTTTGACACACATACACCTACCTCCTGAAGAGTGTTCTTGATCTGGCCAACTGTTGTGAAGGGTGTTTTCTTCACCAGAGAAAGAATTCTTCGGTCATCCACCACAGTTGTTTTCCGTGATCTTCCGGGTCTTTTGGTGTTGCTGAGCTCACCGGTGCGTTCCTTCTTTTTAAGAATGTTCCAAACAGTTATTTTGGCCCACGCCTAATGTTTTTGCTATCTCTCTGATGGGTTTGTTTTGTTTTTTTCAGCCTAATGATGGCTTGCTTCACTGATAGTGACAGCTCTTTGGATCTCATCTTGAGAGTTGACAGAAACATATTCCAAATGCAAATAGCACACTTGAAATGAACTCTGGACCTTTTATCTGCTCATTGTAATTGGGATAATGAGGGAATAATACACACCTGGCCATGGAACAGCTGAGAAGCCGATTGTCCCATTACTTTTGGTCCCTTAATAAGTGGGAGGCACATATGCAAACTGTTGTAATTCCTACACCGTTCACCTGATTTGAATGTAAATGCCCTCAAATTAAAGCTGACAGTCTGCAGTTAAAGCACATCTTGTTTGTTTCATTTCAAATCCATTGTGGTGGTGTATAGAACCAAAAATGTTAGAATTGTGTCGATGTCCCAATATTTATGGACCTGACTGTATGTTTTCTTTATGGGGATAGGTTATTATGTATTCTTGTTTTAAATACTGGTGCCTATGCTCTGGGAAACATGACACGTCTGTTCATATAGATAGCGTGTTTAGATGACTATTTGAAGATTTGGCATCTTCATTTCTGTAGCACCCCATAAATATATTATTATACTTTAAAGTTGCAATGATAGCTGGGTGGGAGGCTATGCAGATTTGCACCAGATTTTGTAGTCATTAGTTTTAGTAAATCAACCCATTGTCTGTCCTAACAAAGGGTTAAAGATCTCAAGGCTTGAGTGTGTGTTATGTATTTTATCTCAGTCCATCCCCATTTTGAAATTGTTCATAATAGCTTGGAGTGCTGTATAAACTTGCGCCAAACAAACAACTAGAAAGTTAAGAAACATTTTTTCAAATATTATTTTAGGTATTCTGAGTGAGTTCTGTGTGAATAAGAACACATAACAAACATACAGTATAGTGTTTTTTTTAGATTTGAATGCAAAAGTGGAACTATGTTTATATCTGCCTTATATTTGTATATTTGCTGTGTGAGATCATCTAAGACACTGCTCCCTCTCACTGCTAGGGAGCTTTTGTAACGTCACTACTGTTCTCCTTGTTGAAGAGGACGCTGTTTCTGAGGATCTGCAATGCATGTATTCAGTGGTTATTTGCTTGCTCCGCCTTTCTGTATCCTTATGCTTCTTTATTATTGATAATTACCCCACCAGTCATCAGATCACCAATCACTGGGGACATCTCTGACATGACAACTGCAGGAAACTGGTGACTAGTCCTTTGGCTTCTGCATGCCAAAGCTTCCACAATTCAGGTCATCTTTAAAGGATATCTCCATGAAATATAATTATAAAGGACAGTGGGACACTTGTGTCCCTGATGGAAGTAAGTTCCCTGTGTATTTCTTTGAAGAAACCACTAGAATGAGTGAGACATGGTGAAGGCCTATGTATTGGGGCTTTTGTTCTTTTCATACAAGTCAGTTGGAATGCAAAAGCAACTTAGAAGAAGGTCAAATGTAGGTCAGAAGAACTCAGAACATAGAAGTGTTTCAAACAGATCTCAAATACAAACTATATACACCTGAATTGATATAAACCCTAATACCTGTCTTCTAGTGTATTCTCCATAGCAGGGCTGAGAATGGGATTAGGGTCAGTTAGGAAATTGTACTGTAATTCTGAATGCTAGCTTTTTGGTCATTCAACCTCTTTGCAACAATTTTTTCTTCTTATTGAGGACTTTTTACGTTATGCGTAATGAACCAGGGGAGGTGGACCAATTTGATATCTTCCCTTTGGGAACTGGATGGCCTTGTACTGGCCATACTCCATAGGAATAGAGTAAGAGCTCTGTTCAGCAGGTAGTATAAGAAACTTGGTTTGTTACAGCCAGTGGATGCTTAGGAGGTCTCATCAACAAGGTTCAGGAGGACTATAAACACCCAGTATACAATGAACCTAACTCCACCCTCCAAAGAAATCTTTTGCTTGTAATGTCACTTTTCCTGCTTTTGTCTAAGCTATTCTTACATCTTCTCTAAAGTTTCTTGACTTTGTTTCTGGCATCAAAGAGACATCATTTTACAAAACGACTTTCATGAACATAATTAATGCATGATTTAAAATTAGAGCTACAGTTGAAAATTTAGGCCAAATTTAGAATTTGGATCCTTAAAGCATTTTTCTGTACGTTGTGCTTACAAAGCATATTTTATTGGCAAACCTTTTCAACCTGACTTGGTTAATGCAGCTTCTTTTGTTGCCATACATCTTAAATGTTTAATCCAGGAGACCAGTATGTACAATATCATTTCTGTAAAGCTCTTTTCTTTCTTGGAATAATGTGCACTTGGCGAGCTTAAATATAACAGGCTGACATTTGCAATTAGACATGGAAGGCATAGTTGCTTTTTAAAGTTGTCTTAGCTCCTTGCAATGTGTGCCAGGGATCAGTGCCAAGATTTGAAATTGTGAAAGCCACATTTTAGCACATGATGCTGCACATCTGAGGTGTGTAAGTTATTGGAGGACATTATAATCACTTTCATTTAATTTTTAAATGATAGTATATTTACTTTACAAATCCTTTTAAATCAAAGGCTCATGACCCATCTCTGTTATTACTTGTCCACCTTGTCTTAAAAAGAGTGTTGCTGAAATAAAAATAAAAATTAAATAAAAAGCTTTGTCAAAGAAAAAAAAAAAGATATATTCAGGTGTGGCAAAGTGCACATGGGGCCCTCTCAAAGGCCATATATAGGGAAGTTCAAGGGATTGCTGCACTTAGTATTTAATAAAATATTGCATTTAAATATGAAATTATTAATAAATATTAAGTGCAGCAATCCCTGTTCAGACTTCCATATATATATATATATATATATATATATATATATATATATATATATATATATATATACACACATACACTATGTTGCCAAAAGTATTGGGGCACCCCTACAAATGATTGGATTGAGGTTCCAATCACCTCCATGGCCAAAGGTGTATAAAATCAAGCACCTAGGCATGCAGACTGCTTCTGCAAACATTTGCAAAAGAATGGGTTGCTCTCAGGAGCTCAGTGAACTCAAGCATGGTACCGTGATAGGTTGTCACCTGTGCAATAGGTCCATCCATTAAATTTCCTTGCTACTAAATATTCCTCGGTCAACTTTTAGTGATAGTATAACAAAGTGGAAGCTACTGTGAACAACAGAAACTCAGCCACAAAGTGGTAGGCCACGGAAAATGACAGAGTGGAAAAAAAGCGCATGCTGAAGTGCACAATGCGCAGAAGTTGCCAACTGTCTGCAGAGTCAATAGCTAAAGACCTCCAAACGTCATGTGACCTTCAGATTAGCACACCAACAGTGCATATAGAGCTTCATGGAATGCGTTTTCATGGCTGAGCAGCTGCATCCAAGCCTTACATTTTCAAGTGCAAAGTGTCATTTGCACTGGTGAAAAGCACGCCGCCACTAGACTCTGGAGCAGGGGAGAGTCTCTAGAGCAGTGATGGCGAACCTATGGCACGCGTGCCAGAGCTGGCACGCAGAGCCATCTCAGTGGGCACGCCAGGAGGAAGAGAGGAAGAGGAAGAGAACGCGCTCTCCTGCGCACCTCCGGGGGCGCGCGCACCGGGCGATCTCCGTGATCGCTGTGTCCTGCGGACACAGCTGATCACGTGACATGGTAAAAGGCCAATCACAGCGGCCTTTTACCACGTGATCAGCCGTGTCCAATGACACGCTGATCACCGGGAAATGCAAATGCCGGTTCTCGGCTGCACTTTCCTCACGCTGTCAGATCGTGATGAAAGTACTGCCGAAAACCGGCAGTTGTCAGAACAGGGATCGGCACCGATCATCAGGGTCACTGATCATCAGTGCCCTGATGATCGGTGCCCACCTGTGCCACACAATGTGCCCAGCAGTGCGCCCACCTGTGCCCAGCAATGCACCCACCTGTGCCCACCTGTGCCGCCCACCAGTGCCACCCACCAGTGCCCATCAGTGCAGCCCAGCAGTGCTGCCAGTCAGTGCCACCAGTCAGTGCCCAGCGGTTGTGCCAGTCAGTGCCCAGCAGTGATGTCAGTCAGTGCCACCTATCAGTGCTGTCTATCAGTACCCATTATCAGTGTCGCCTATCAGTGCCACCTATCTGTGACACCTCATTAGTGCTGCCCATCAGTGCCACCCATCAATGATGCCCAGCAGTGCCGCCGGTCAGTGCCGTTTGTCAGTGCCTCCAGTTGGTGCTGTCAGTGCCGCTTATCAGTGCCCATCATTTCCTGCATATCAGTGCATCATCAGAGCCTCCTCATCAATGCTCACCAGTGCCGCCTCATCAGTGCTACCTATCTGTGCCGCCTCATCAATGCCCATCAGTGCTGCCTATCAGTGCAGCCTCACCAACGCACATCAAAGAAGAAATATTACCTGTTTGCAAAATTTTAGAATAGAAGCAAAGGAAACCTTTTATGTTTTTAATTTTTTGCTCTTTTTTCATTTATAGTGCAAAAAATAAAACACCCAGTGGTGATTAAATACCACCAAAAAAAGCTCTATTTGTGTGAAAAAATGATAAAAATTGCATATGGTTACAGTGTTGCCTGACCGCACAATTGTCTTTGTTAAGTGCAACAGCACTTAAAGCTGAAAATTGTCCTGGGCAGGAAGGGGGTAGAAGTGCCCGGTAGGCAAGTGATTAATTCCAGTGTTGGCACTTTGAAATAAAAAAGTTGGTTTTGTGTTGCAGTTTGGGCACTCGGGCTCAAAAAGGTTCGCCATCACTGCTCTAGAGTGACGAATCATGCTTGCCTGACTGCATTGTGCCAAGTGTAAAGTTTGGTGGAGGAGGGATTACGGTGTAGGGTTGTTTTTCAGGGGTTGGGCTTGGCAAAAATGTCTTGGTTTGCTGATGCCTTAAGAGTTCCCTTTACTGGAACTCTTAAGGCATCAGCATCAGCATACCAATACATTTTGGACAATTTCATACTCCCACCTTTGTGGAAACATGTTGGGGATGGCCCCTTCCTGTTCCAACATGACTGCACACAAGTACACAAAGCAAGGTCCATAAAGACATGGATGAGCGAGTTTGGGGTGGAGGAACTCGACTGGCCTGCATAGAGTCCTGACCTCAACCTGATAGAACAAATTTGGGATGAATTAGAACAGAGACTGCTAGCCAGGCCTTCTCATCTGACATCAGTGCCTGACCTCACAAATGTGCTTCTGGAAGAATGGTCAAACATTCCCATAGACACTCTCCTAAACCTTTTGTACAGCGTTCCCAGAAGAGTTAAAGTTGTTATAGCTGCAAAGGGTGGACCAACTCAATATCGAACCCTACAGATTAAGACCGGGATGCCATTAAAGTTCATGTGTGTGTGTAAAGGCAGGCATCTTAATACTTTTGGCAATATAATGTATATATACACTGCTCAAAAAACATTAAAGGAACACTTCTTAATCAGAGTATAGCATCAAGTCAATAAAACTCCTGGGATATTGATCTTGTCAGTTAAGTAGCAGAGGAGGTTTTTAATCAGTTTCAGCTGTTTTTTTTTGTTAATTAAATTAACAACAGGTACACTAGCTGGGCAACAGCGAGATGACACCCAAAACAGGAATGGTTTTACAGGTGGAGGCTACTGACATTGTTTTCCCCCACTTATCTTTTCTGACTGCGTTTCACTAGTTTTGCATTTGGCTAGGGTCATTGTCACTACTGGTAGTATGAGGCAATACCTGGACCCTACAGAGGTTGCACAGGCAGTCCAACTCTTCCAGGATGGCACATCAATATATGTCATTGCCAAAAGGTTTTCTGTGTCTCCCAGCACAGTCTCAAGAGCATGGAGAAGATTCCAGGAGACAGGCAGTTACTCTAGGAAAGCTGGACCGGGCCATGGTCCTTGACCCATCAGCTGGACCAGTATCTGCTCCATTGTGCAAGGAGAAACAAGATGAGCACTGCCAGAGCCCTACAAAATGACTTCCAGCAGGCCACTGTTGTGACTGTCCCTGACCAAACAATCAGAAACCGACTTCATGAGGCTGGCCTGTGGGTCCGACATCCTCTAGTGGGCCCTGTGCTCACTGCCTGGCACCATAGAGCTTGATTGGCATTTGCCATTGAACACCAGGACTGGCGCCCTGTGCTTTTCATAGATGAGAGCAGGTTCACCTTGAGCACATGTGACAGACATGACAGGGTCTGGTGAAACCGTGGAGAATGTTATGCTGCCTGCAATATCAATAAGAATGACCATTTTTGGTGGTGGGTCAGTGATGGTCTGGGGAGGCATATCCATGGAGGGACGCACAGACCTCTACAGGCTAGACAATGGCACCCTGACTGCCATTAGGTATCGGGATGAAATTCTTGTACCCATTGTCAGACCCTACGCTGGTGCAGTGGGTCCTGGGTTCCTCCTGGTGCACAACAATGCCAAGTCCATGTGGCGAGAGTATTCAGGCAGCTCCTGGAGGATGAAGGAATCGATATCATTGAATGGCCCCCACGCTCGCCTGACCTAAATCCAACAGAACACCTCTGGGATATCTTGTTTCAGTCCATCCGACGCTGCTAGGTTGCACCTCAGACTGTCCAGGAGCTCAGGACTGTCCAGGAAATATCCCAGGACACCATTTGTCATCTGATTAAGAGCATGCATGCAAACACGTGGGGGCCATACAAACTACTGAGTACCATTTTGAGTTACTGCAATGAAATTTCAGCAGAATGGACTAGCCTGCTGCATCATTTTATCACTTTGATTTTCAGGGTGTCTTTGAATTCAGTCCTCTGTAGGTTGGTAATTTTCATTTCCATCAAACGATGGGGCATCCTTACGTTCCCCATTACCCATTCCATATCAGTATAGATATCTAGCATGATATTTTTCCCCATTGAGATCTAATGTGTTTTCAAAGTGTTCCTTAACATTTTTTGAGCAGTGTATATATGTATATATCTATATACATATATACACTGTATAATTAGCCAGGTTTCATTCATCTTGATTTGTTCTATTATAATGAAGATATTGAAGATATTCAACTATTCATCCAAGTTGTTTCCTCAGTGTAGGGACCGAGTGGGCCCTGCACCTGACTGAAAAATCCTACTCTAATGGCCAAACCCTTGGTTGCTCTGACAGGTAAACTTTCAACCCTTTGAGTAGTTTAGGCACTTGTTGTTACCATGTACACCCACACACATTCCTATTGATTAATCATTGTGATGGACTGCGTCATTGGCCATTAGAAATGTGTAGGCGGCTTTAAGGGACAGGCAAGCATCAGCATTTTTAGGAAACATCAGGTATGTGAAATTTATTCCTGCAGGATTGTTTTTTTGCCAACAGAGTTGCTTTAACCACCTTGCGACCAGGACAGTTTATTTTTCACACATGTTAAAAGTGATTTTTTTTGCTAGAAAATTACTTAAAACCCGGAAACAATTATAACTTTTCTGAAAGCAGAGGCTCCATAGAATAAAACAGTGGCTGTTACATTTTTTTATGTTGCACAATATGTATGCAAAGGTCTATTAAATCTGTATTAAAAAAAAAAAAACACTCTAAAATCAAGTACACAAGAACACAATATAACACCCAATGTTTCATAAAATAGGAAAGATGGGGTTGCACTGAGTAAAACCTTAAAAATGAATGTGCCAGTGAAATGGAGAAAAACTATGGTACCCAAAACTGTCCATAGGAAAACATTTTAAAAGCCTTTAAAGATTATTAATTTAGTGTTAATCGTGAACGATGGCCCTAAATTTATTGGCTGTCACTCTGATTTTCATGGCAATATCTCTCATGTGTTGGGCAATTGCTGTTTACAAACATATGCACACCCCACCTGTGTGCTGCATTTGCATGTGTACACAGGATGACAGGATTGCTGTTAATTTTTTTTTTTCTTATTTATTTTTTATTTAACATTACTGTTATGACAAGAGGCTAACAAACCTTTTATGTTATTGCACAGGCAGGTGACAGGTCCTCCCCTGCCCTCCATTACAGCTAATCAAGCACATGTCGGGCCTGATTAGCTTTTTACCTGGCCACAACAGCTAGGGAATGACAGCTCCAAACCAAGAAATGATGACATGTTTGACACTTCCAGTTTATTTTATCGAAGGACAACCCTTCACAGTACATTAAAAGTGATCAGGGAGCTCTACCAATATTTTACTGAAAAATATGGCTGGCTGAAAAAGCTCACTGCTACAGATGCTTTAACCTTTTGAGGTTCTGGCTGTTTTTAAATAGCCTTTGGTTCAAGTTTGGCTTGACATTTACTACAAACTACATTAATCACTCTCTATTGCCCTCCTAAACTAGTAATGTCCTCAGATCATTGCATGCACCATACCACACACAATAATGCACGTTGCAATATATGTGGTTAAATGTTGATCAGTAGTGTTGTACATATGTTTTTGATGTGCTCCCATTAATGTCCAATGGGCCTCAACATACATCCACACAGTAAAATATGCACTTAACACAACACACTCTTCTGAAGAAATGTGCCGTGTTGCAGTGCGTTGGGAAAAAAAGGAATATGACTCTACCTGGGCAGTGTGGAATGACTCCCACAGCAGAATGCAGGCTAGCATTTAAAGTGTTTTTTTTTTACCTTAAAAAATAAATCCAAGTTATATGCCTCTTTAAATATGTATAATGTAAATATAATATTCTTTTTTCAAACTTTTATGAATTTTGCTTAGAATAACTGGTTGATCCAGCTAGTCTCCCTCCTTCCTTGTAGCACGAAAATGGATCCAATTCTAGCATGTTCAGTTTGCATTCCATGTCTTC